AGGATAATTTTAATAACCATGGATACATATAATTAGCAACATAATTAGGAAATATTTGTAACATAGACTAAATAAACAAGATAAAACCATTTTTTGAAATTTGTTTTCACATTTTGGTGTTCTAGCCCTATCATACATTCTCTGTTTTGTGCACAGCCTATTTGTCAATACTTATATGAATATGAGCCTTCATTTTCTACCCAAACCATTGACTTAGTCAAAGGCCAATTTAATCATAAATCATGAGAGGAGGGTATTAGTAATGATGCTCCTCATATATATAATTTGCAAAATATATAAGAGAAAAAAGATAAAAGAAGAACAAGTACAACTTAAAGTAGTATTATTATGTGCTCCAGATTCTGGTATAAGTCTTATATTTATTACCTCTTCTAGACCAATGTTGGTAGAAAAATCTAGAGTGACCATTTAGGTTTCTTTACGACAATTTGGTCCTGCTATAGCATTTTGATTTTATGTAACAATATTATTAGTCCACAATTCCTTCAAAATAAAACAAAGCCAAAAAAAAGTATCAAACAAAATTGATCTTTGATCTCATTTGAGAAGCATTGAGAGTTTGATTTAAAGTAAGAGATGATATATGTAGTAAAGGCATTAAGTAAGATGTCTGGTCCATAGAAAATGATCTATGTATCCAACACAATACCAATCAGAATTCTAGAAAGTTACTTTTATTTATATGAATAAACTAATTTTAAAGTTTGCACAGAAAAGAAAAAGAGCCAGAATAGCTAACACAACATTGAAAGAGATGAAAAAAAAGTCCTTTTAAGTACTTTGGGTATAGATCTGGGAGAGGGATAAAGAAAGAAATCAAAGAAGACCTTAGAAGATGGAAAGACCTTGCTCTTGACTAGGCAGAATTAATATTATCAAAATAGTACTTGAATTGGTACTCTAAATTTATAGATATTAAGATAATGTTATACAGGCGAAAGAATAAAATTCAATGGAACAGAAAAGACAAGAAATAGACCACACAAATACATTGTCAGATCTTTGACTAAGAAAGAAAGGCAACAGAATAGAGAATGAATAATTTTGCTAGAATTTGATAGCTACATGCAAAAATATGAATCTAGGAACTGATCTTAAATCTTTCAATAAGTAATTCAAAATGGATCACAGACTTACATGTAAAATATAGAAATTTAAAACTTCTAGAAGATAACACAGGAGAAAATCTATATGTCCTTGGATTTGGCAATAAGTTTTCAAGTGCATAAGAGAAAGCATCATCCATGAAACAAGTGACTGAGAAGTTGAACATCATTAAAAATGATGAAAAGGGTTTTTTTAAATTGATTTTTTATATATGACAGCAGAATGCATTACAATTCATATTACACATATAGAGCACATTTTTTCATAACTCTGGTTGTATATAAAGTATATTCACACCACATGCCCTTTGGATAATGATGTTCATCACATTCCACCATCATTTCTAACACCCTGCGCCCTTCCCTTCCCCTCCCCACCCCTCTTCCCTATCTAGAGTTTGTCTATGACTCCCGTGCTCCCCCTCCCTACCCCACTATAAATCAGACTGCTTATATCAGAGAAAACATTAGGCATTTGTTTTGGGGGGATTGGCCAACTTCACTTGGCATTGTCTTCTCCAACTGCATCCATTTACCTGCAAATAACATGATTTTATTCTCTTTTATTGCTGAGTAATATTCCAGGTGTATATATGCCACATTTTTTAACCATTCATCTACTGGAGGGTATCTAGGTTGTTTCCACAGTTTAGCTATTGTGAATTGTGCTGCTATAAATGTTGATGTGACTGTGTCCCTGTAATATGCTATTTTTTAAGTCCTTTAGGTATAGATCTAGGAGAGGGATAAAGAAAGAAATCAAAGAAGACCTTAGAAGATGGAAAGACCTTGCTCTTGAATAGGCAGAATTAATATTATCAAAATGACCATACTACCAAAAGCACTATTCAGATTTAGTGCAATTCTCATCAAAATCCCAATGGCATTCCTCATAGAAATAGAAAAAGCTATCATGAAATTCATCTGGAAAAATAAGAGAATAGCTAAAGCAATCTTTAGCTGGAAGAGTGAAGCAGGTGGCATTGCTATACCAGACCTTAAAGAATACTATAGAGCAATAGTAACAAAAACAGCATGGTACTGGCACCAAAACAGACTGGTAGACCAATGGTACAGAATAGAGGACACAGAGACTAACCCACAAAATTACAATTATATTAGACAAAGGCACCAAAAACATACATTGGAGAAAAGATAGCCTCTTCAGAAAATGGTATTGGGAAAACTGAAAATCCATATTCAATAAAATGGAATTAAACCTCTTTCTCTCACCATGCACAAAACTCAACTCAAAGTGGGTCAAGGACCTAGGAATTAAACCAGAGACCTTCTAGAAGAAAAAGTAACCATGACTGATTAGGCCTCAACTTCCTTAATAAAACTCCTATAGCACAAGAATTAAAATCAAGTATCAATAAATGAGATGGATTCAAACTAAAAAGTTTCTTCTCGACAAAAGAAATAATCTGTGAGGTGAACAGTGGGGCTATATCTTGGGAGCAAATTTTTACCCCTCATACATCAGATCAAGCAGTAATCTCTAGGGTATATAAAAAACTCAAAAAACTAAACATCAAAACAACAAATAAGCCAATCAATAAATTGGCCAAGGACCTGAAGAGACACTTCTCAGAAGAGGTATACAATCAGTCAACAAATATATGAAAAAATGTTCATCACCTCTAGCAATTAGAAAAATTCAAATAAAAACTACTTTAAGATTTCATCTTGCTTCTGTCAGAATGGCAGCTATTATGAAGACAACAATAAGTGTTGGCAAGGATGTGAGAGGAAGGCACACTCATACATTGCTGGTGGGACTGCAAATTGGTGCAGTCAATATGTAAATCAGTATGGAAATTCCTTGGAAAACTGGGAATGGAACTGTCATTTGAAAAGAAAAGTTTTGATCAAGGAAAATAATGTTAAAAGAAGGAAAATAAAATTATGTCATAGACTATGAGAAATATTTGCAGAACACGTAACTGATTAAAAAAATGATATCCAAAAAATACTAAAAAACTGTTAAAATTCAAGACCAAGAAAATACATAACCCAACTAAAAAATGGCTAAAACATTGGAAAGGGTACCTCATCACCAAAGAAATTATACAGTTGAAAGAAAAGCATATGAAAATATGATCAACCTCCCATAACCAGGGAGTTGGAAATTAAAACAATAATAGGATACCTCTATATAGATATGAGAATGTCCAAAATCAAACATGAAAAAAAACAAAGTTAGTAAAAATTTGTGCAGCAGAAACTTTCATTTGCTGCTGTCCACTAATGCAAAATGATGCACTTAACTTATTTCCTATCAATTTCCTATAAAGCTAAATGCAGTCTTGCAACATGATCCAGCAAAATCTCAGGTATTTGTCTACATGATTTGAAAACACAACTATGCAAAAACCTGTATATAAATGTTTATAGCAGCTTCATTTGAAATGGTAAAAACAATGGAAGCAACCAAGATGTCTTTTCATATATGAATGAATGAACTAACTCTGGTATACTCATAAAATGGAATTCTTTTTCAGTTATAAAAAGAACTGGATTATCAAATCATGAAGAATATAAAGAAACTGTAAATGCACATTTTTAAGTGACAGAGGCTTGCTATATGATATCTATTATATGACAATCTGCAAAAAGGCAAAACTACAGAAAAAGTAAAGATCAGTGGTTGCCAAAGGTTTAAGGGAAGGAATCGGGATTTCGAGGGCAGAGAAACTATTGCATGTGAAATCATGATGGTGGATGCAAGATATTTCATGCATTTGTCAAAATCCATATAATTGTACAATATAAAGAATGAATCCTGATATAAACTATAGGCTTTAGCTAACAGTAAGGATAGTAGCTCATCAATCATAACAAATAAATCACAGTAAAACAAGACTTCAATAATAGGGAAATTTGTGAGAGGAAGAGAAGAAATATATGGGAACTCTCTGCTCAAATTTTCTATATACCTAAATGGCCTTAGAAAAAAAGAAACTCTTTTAATTAAAAAATGGTGGCATAAGAAAAAAATTTCAGGGTGATGGATATGTTCATTATTTTGGTTGTGGAAATGTTTCTTGAGTGTACATATTTCAAAAATATAAAAAAGTAGTCTTTATGTGCAGTTTATCATATGTCAATTGCACTTCAATGAAGCTGATAAAAGAAGTGAATGTTTCTGTACAAAATACAAACATGATCCTGATGATTGTCTGTATAAAGCCCCAGGCTTTATAGTAGATTGAAAGAGGAATTGATGAAAAAATGGATTTTTTTTGTGCTAAACAAAGGTCTGAAATTGATGGAAAGTAATAGTTGTCCTTGAATATGTAAAGGATTTTCAAGTAGAAGGGTCATGGGGGGTTTTATGCCTAACTACAAGAAATATACTTCAATACCACATTGCAAAACTCATAGGCACAACAAAACGTATTGAGTATTAGACCTTTTAAATCATTGCCAAAGATATGCAAAGATGAAATATATTGTGACTGGTCTGAAGAGATTCTTGATATTTCAAATGCTCAGTCGTAGGCTAAATAACTATTTGTTGGGAGGTATTGTAATTTATTTCATAAATAATGTAATGCAAAAGATTTAAGTGAAGAATCTTGGGTAGTCTGCTAACATGGCAAAACAAGAACTGGAATCCAGAACAACATGGTTTCATGTTTTCAAAAATCAGACTCTTCATTAAACCACATCACCTCCAGGATAAAGCACAAAGATGATTTAGATAATGAGAGCTTGATAAGAGGAGTTTTAAGGTACCTTCCCAGAAATCACAAATTTCTTAAAGGAAAGAGGGAAAATAAAATTTACAGTGACTATTACATGAGTTAAAGATGAGGATGTCAATAGCATCTAAGTATCTGTTGATTTCAGTTTCACCTCGACACTTACTATGAGTCCTGGTTCTGGAATTGGAGCAGGCGTTGCAAACTTCTTTTCTAACTTCTTCTTCTCTTTCCTTAGGCTTTTCATATTCTGAATACGTTTATTTGCAGACTTTAGGAAAATTAAAAGAAAAAAATACTGTTCAATATGAATATAAACATGCTGATTCTATTTTTGGAATATCAATATCATTTGTGTCATTACAAATGATAAATCCACACATATGATTTATATAACTAATAGAAGTAGAAAAACCCCTTTCTTTTAAATGTATGGTTCATAGGTAAACAAAACATATTGAAGCATCAGCAGAGCTTTCAAAAGAGACTATTCACTCCCAATTCCCACTTCATGCCTGTGCACATTTCTATTAACCCCAATTTAGGATATATGTGTTCAACTGTATTTAAAAAATAATGTTCATTAAAATATCAGAGGGATTTATGTTATAGAAATAAGAAAACAAGGGGCTGCAGTTGTGGTTCAGTGGTAGAGTGCTCACCTAACACATGCAAGGCCCTGGATTCGATCCTCAGCACCACATAAAAATAAAAATAAAAGTGTTGTGTATAATTATGACTAAATATATATTATATATGATATATATCATATATATGCATACACATATATATGTATGCATATATATGTGTATATATGTATGTGTATATGTGTATATTTCTTAATATATATGATATATATTAATGTGATATATATATTAAGAAATAAGTAAACAAGTACACTATTCCTCTTAAATACTGCATTTCACATGGCTTTTTTATGTCACCATTGTACGTCATCTCTAAGTAGCAGCAACATAGACATAGGGCATTAAACTGGAATGTTTTGAAGATAAATGAAACATAGTATTAGATCATGAGGAAATGAGAACTTGTGTAATCATAGCCAGTGGGATTGTGAATTAGTATAATCTCTTTGTAACCAATGTGCCATTATTTTCAAACAATGACAGATTTCCTTTCCCTATCATCCAGCCATTTCAATCCTGCATTAAATAAGCAAGTGAATGAAGTTTTTGTCCAAAGGGCAAAAAGACATGCACTCAAATGTTCACAGTAGTACTGTACATTATAGGAGCTGGCTCTTTAACATCCAGGAGGAGATGCCTCACAAGAGGAAGAAAGTTGTGATATTATATGAAATTCTAAACAATTGAAAAGAAAGGCATGATGGCTACCTACTGCAATATAGACTTACCTTAGGGCACAATGTGGAGAAGAGACTCTGACATTGAATTTTATTTGATTTTGTATTTACAAAATTTAAAACCAAGAAGAAGCAACACTATATACATGGGACAAATTGTTAAAAGGAAGAAATAGATAAAAATAAAATTCAAGACAGAGATGCAGGTGAGCAATATAGGGAGGCAGTTCCTAGAGAGACACAAGGATAATTACACCATAAGTTAAAGGTATGTTTTATTAATCTATTTTATCAATTATATATGCTACCTACCTTTGACCTATGTATCAAACGTTACATTAAAAATTATACTATAAGCCATTTAGATTACCCTAGTTGAAACCATTTCAATAATAGTCTAAAGATTGCAGAGTCTGAAGAAAGGTATTGCCTTAGCCTCTAGTTAATACAAATCCTACAATGTTACAGATCACCCCACGTAAAGGATTAAGCTAAAAGCAGCACTGAAACAACCATAATTTTAGTTTATGTAATCATTACCTGCCTGGTGGTAACATCTGAAGGGTGATGCTTTCTTGGTCCTTCCTGTATAATATGTAAAATTAAAACACACAGAAGCACCCAAAAGTCAGGAAAAAGCAGAGATATCAGTTATCACAACAGGAAGCCTCTGCCACTAGGTTTTATTTATGTAGTATTAATGAATCTTAATGAATTAATGAATATCACCTCCACCACAAGGGGCAAAAGAATAAAAACAATCTAAGATAAAAATAAGAGTAGGGAGGATGGAGGTGGTATTATGAAAAAAAAAAAGAACCAGCTAGGAACTATATCACAGGGCACAGGTAGAGTGCTGAGATTTATTTTGGAGGAGAAACATTTTCAAACACTTTTTAAAAATCATGTTTCTGCTGCTCCCCGATTTCAGTGGTGCCACACTGCTCTTGGCTGAGGGATCTGGCCTTTACTCCGGATTCTAAAGCCAGGCAAAGCTAGGATGATTGAAGTGGTGCCACCTAGGGAACTGGCTGTTGGTTTCTGAAGTTGCCCCTCTTCCAGCTAATTTCTAAATCCTCCCTTCAAAACCTCTCCCACTTTGATCCAATTTTTTTAACCAGAAGTTCCCAAAGTAAGCTACTCTGCATTTCAATACTGAGGTCTTCATTTAGGGCCTGTGTCTGTCATTCCCACCCCACCTCCCAGGCCGATTCAGTGGCTCAGTCAGCAGTCCATGGAACTGGGCTGACCCCTAGCAGGGGCTAGCTGGTGCTTCTCCGCTTCCTTCCAGGTGGGTCCAACAACCCTGGATTTAGTTTGTCTTTCACCCAAGGTTTTCCAATGTCTCATCAAGTATGGGGGCTGGAAGCGCCATTGGTCCCAGTAGACCCCTGCTTGCATGGTGGCCAAAGGGGCTCAAGGGCTTTGAAAGACTCACAGGGAAGACTTGGGCAGGATCATCTTCTGTACCACGCAGACACATGTTACAGAGCCATAGGGCACCCTGAGTGTCCAGTACCTAACCCAACCCCAGAAAATGTAGGTCCACTCTTGGCCCTCAAGAGCAGCCCCACCTAGTTCCATCACAATTCTCTTTATTGTGGCCATGTTAGCCCCACCCTTTCCCTCTGTCCCACCCCCAGGAAGGCAAGGCCCCTTGATGTCCACGGAGTGTCTCAGAAGGATGAATGCCAGTTTACTGTAATCCTTTATATTCTAGCTTCCCTGCTCAGAAAATCACACAATGCCAGTTTGTCATCTTTTCTAGTCCTCTTATGTTTCTTCTCTGTTGTGCCTCCTTCCTTTCCTAAGATGTCTGGCTTAGATTCCGTTATTACTTCAATCTATCTGTTATCTGTGAATGCTTTGTCTTCCATCACAGCTTCTACTTGGACCAACTCAACTGCCTATGCCTTCTTCCTCTCTGCCTGCCTAGACCAGGCTGAAAGATGGGGACATGAAGATGGCTGGCTGCTCTACTTCTCCTTGATCTCCAACAAACTAGGCCCTCAGCACTGCTTACAACTCCTTTTAGGTTGCATTAGCTCTTTTTTGTGTTCTGTGACATTCTCTTCAAACTGTCTTTCCTCTGTTACATATCTGAAACCAGTCTCTCTCTGTCACTTTTAGCAGAAGTAAAAAAAAAAAAAAATCTGACAATGGACCACTCAGAGCTTATTATGCTCATCATTGTTGGATAAATTTATACATATTAACTAACTTGTTCCCTAGATAAGCCAAGGGGATAATTGTATGATTATCACCTGGGAAATGAGCCACTGGCATGTTTAGTAAATAGGACCAAGGTTATCTGGTTAGCAAGAAGGTGAGTTAGGATTTAAATCCAGAAACTTCCTCCAAAGCATTCACTCTGAATCACACACAGTACTAGGCTAGCAACTGCTTCTAAATCCCAGAATGAACCTACCTCAATTCTTTACCACCTGTAAGCCTGTAACCATGTCTATGTCCACATTATCTTTTGCCTGTAGCCCTATCAAAATGAAGTATTGAATCCCCTCCTCTTGTCTCAAATGCCTCCATTTTAGTTCTCATGTCATTTCCTCCCAGGAGTTTCCTTCAAAGCTCTCACTATTCCTTCTTCTTATTAGCCTATCTTTTTTTGGCCTATTTCTATACATTTAAATACTTTCTGCTCAAATTTCTTCTTTAAACTGATAAAAGAAAACACTTTGACCAGCAATTAATTGCATCTGTTGCTCATGCCTTCTGTTCAAAGAAAATATTCATGGGAATTGCCTGTACCTCCTGTCTCCTCTTTTTTAGCTTAATAATATGTGAGTCTCTGCAACCTGTTTCAACTCTCAATATTCTACTGGAATTTCTCTCAAATAGGTCATTAAGAATCTTTCTGCTGAATTCAATGGACGATTCTTACCACATCTCTTTTGCACAGTGTTAGATATTGCTGAGAATTTTCTTGGATGATTCAGGCTTAGAAAAATTAAATAATCTTGCCTGAATGTAGTGTTTGACCATTCCCTTTATGAAACTTCCCTGTCTGGGAGCAGTAAGGCTTAGAAAAATTTTATAACCTTGTCAATGTTCACAAATCAGAAATTGTCTTAAAATTTTTCTAACATATCACATTGTCTGAAGAATATATGTTTCGGATGATTATTATTGCATAAATTGTTAGAGCTATGAAGGTAAAAATGAATCAAATTCTTTCACAATAATTTAAACAACTTAGGAACAGCTTAGGTAAACCAGTACAATGTGATCCTCAATAATTGACACATGTCTTGCAGACATTTAGAAGCCGCTAGTTCTTTCTGAAGATGAGTCCAAGAAGTCTTGATAGAGGAGTGGTCAGTTTGCCCTGCAGACTATGAAAGAACATTCCTGGCTCAAGCAGCAGCATACCCAGATGACAGGGAGTATGGTTCAGAATCAAGGGTTTGCTGAATAGGTAACTATTGCACATCACTTTACACTCATCACTTCTCAGTGCCTTTCTTCTTCCCTTTCTTTGTACAAAAAAAAAAAAAAGAAAGAAAAAAAGAAAGAAACTAAGGTGGTTCAACTGAAATAAAACAATGTTTAGTTGGAATCTGGCACCTGCAGGCAGCCATAAGATAATATTTCAGAATTATGTTTCAAACTCATTAGGTATCATGCAGTGGCACCCACAAAAGTCCGAATTCCATCTTAACCACTTGAAAACTTTAGTGAACCTGGCCAATTAATTATCTTGCATGAGTTCCAAATACTTTTTCCACAGTGGAAATGTTAAAATTTAATAACATAGGGCTGTTAATAATAATGATAACCTATGTTGTTAAAAGCAGCAGAGATAATGTAAGTAAGGAGTTGAATCTAGTTCCTGCTTGCTAACAGTTATTCAGTAATAATAGTTGTAATTATATTTTACTGTCATTACATTATAAAATCTTTGGAATGGAAAGGACTTCATGTATCATCCACCCTGATATTCCACTTGAAACTTTGGAGTCTCTCAGCAAAATTTTAACTTAATGGCTGTCCAGTTTATGTTCTTCTACTTAATCAATGGATAGGAAATTCGCTCCAGCCTGTTCAATTTTTTGACACCTCTGATTAATGAAACCTACTAAGCCATATTGATATAAAATATGCTATTCTCTTACTTCCATCCACTAGTACTAATTATATCCTCAAAGTCCTCTCAAGTAAACTCATCCTCTCCTACATGATGCTAAGCCTGGAGGAAGAAGCTAGTATTATCATGATATAGATGTTTGGAGGAAGAGTCTCATAAGTTAGGAATCAGACCTCTAATATACCAAGCTGAGCTGGTGAAGCTTGGGGGAATCTTTCAGAACTGAGAGGCTTCTTACAAGGGGAAACTATCTGGCATATGCAGGCATGATAGGAGGAGCAATAAAACCAATTCTGGTAGTGTGGAAAGTCCTTGGAAACTGGAAACAACTATTGCTGGAGATACTTGCTACCACCAGGCGAAGGGTTATTGCTGGAGTACTACAGCTAGGGGGAAAAAAAAGGTTCGATCAAGATCCTCTTGCCTCCACCTGTCTTCTAAGCTCCCTACAGTTCCCTTTATTGGATTACTTTACCAGGACTTCAGTTCACTAAATTTTCAGCTTTTATTTTTCTGAAGAGAAATAAGCTATGCATAGCCTGAGCCATGGATTTATAAAGACTATAGAAAAACAGACTTAGAGATAAAAGACAACACCTTAATTGTCATACCAACCAACCAACCATCATGCCCTAAGCTACTTGCATTCTTTCATAAATTTTGGAAAATGTTTTCAAGACTCCCCTATTCAAGTTGATAAGCTTTACCTTACTATAGTTTACCAGTTTCCTGAGCATGGAAATATCAAAATTGTGCACTGACCATTTTTAGATATAAAATATAGTTTATGGTTCTGTTTCTCTCAACACCTCTTCTGTGTCTGTATAATCTCTGTCTATGCTTCCTTATTATAAAGAAAGTTGTAATGGCATTCAGGCCCATCAAGATAACCCAAATAATCATCTCATCTTAAAATCCTTAACTTTTAATCACATCTGCAAAGAGCTCTTTTCCAAATAAGGTAAAAATAAGTACCAGGGATTAGGATGTGAACATACATTTGGAAATCATCATTCAGTTATCTGAATACTGCCTTTTAAAACTGAATTACATAAAAGAAGGGCATCAATAATTTTCTTCCTTATGATTATGATGAATCTATAATCTGGACATGAATAGGGACCAATTTCACATATTTCCCATTACTCCACGAGAACCCACTTGTTCTTCCCAACACTTGGAAGTGAACCTGCTCATCTATTTGGTTTAGTTTGGGCCACACTTAATATGTCTCTTGGTCATTGGGTCATTGCAAGGAAAGCATTAATTAGTTGCCATAGTTAGGATGCTAGGAGTAACAAAACATATCCTTTACCATTTTACATTTCACAATTTATTTGCATTTAATTGTATGTCTGTTTTATTGGATGTTATAATTTGGATGTAAGCTGTTTCTGTAAATATCACATGTGAAACAATGTAAGAAGGATTATAGAAGAAATTATTAGGTTATGAAAGCCTTAACCCAATTAGTGAATTAATCACCCAATGGGATTAATTGATAACTGAAGACAAGTGCAGCTGGAGGAGGTAGGGCATTGGGAGTGTGGCTTTGGGTACATATTTGTATCTGGCAAGTGGAGATCTCTCTCTGCCTCCTGATTATCACTGTAGATACTTCCCTCTGACACACTTATCCACCATGATGAAGTCTCAGAAAGAAGGCAGAAGCCTCACCTCAAGCACCAAGGAATGGAGCTGGGTGTCTATGGACTGAGACCTCTGAAACTCTAAGCCCCCAAGTAAACTCTTCCTCCTTTACAATTGTTTTGGTTGGTTTTTCAGTCTCAGCAGTTAAAAAGCTGACTAAAACAGTGGGACTTTTTACAAATCATCTCAGAGCTTCTGGTTTCTGAGTTTCTTGACCATGGGATAAATTGGGTCCTTAATCAATGCTGGATTCAAGCAGAGCTGGCAGAGGTGAACTTCTGGGCTAGTGGTGCTGCCACATAAATCTTGATGAATAAGAATTAAGGTCATAAGACTGCTACCACAAAGAACAAAGCAGAACAAGCCATTCAAGATAGATAAAAATTGGCCTGGACTAGAAAGATATCACAAGGCACAGGAAATCATAGCAGGCGTGGACCTCATCCTAAGTCACCTTTGAATTGATGCGTGTGTTATGAACATAGCAAAGAGGGAAGTCAGAGAGTGAGTTCACAAGAAATGGCTTTATTATAGCATGGGGGAACTACTTAAGGGACCATCTTTGCATTAGCCTGGAGTAGCAAGAGACCTATGAGTGAAAGGTGGAATTTAAAAAGTTAAGGAGAAAAAAAAGGGAAAATAACTATGGAGAAAGACAGACTTGAGAAATGAGATTAGAAAAAGTGAGGCAAATCACCTTGCAGCCCTACAGACCAGTGGTGATTATTGCTCTTCTCACTCCTCTGCTTCCTTCACTCAGCTCTTCAGCTGCTTGAGCTATAGGACCTAATATGCCACCATCAACCCATCCATTTAAA